AATAAATAGTATGTAACTATTTAATTGCATATGAATCACTATATTAATTGCATAAACTGTAATAAATAATGTAATATTTATAATTTTGAGAGATCATGGCTAATTAATTTACTGAAAATTATTTAATTTATTATAACAATTGCTTATGTAATTTTAAGAGATTTTACTATGACAACTAAAACAAATTAATTTATTTAAAAAAATCGCTTAATCAGATAAAAAATATAATATTGATTTTAGAATAAATTTTTGGACAAAAAAATTTATAATATAATTTTTTATGTTTATGTAATCATTTTGCACAAAGTATAATTATTAATTACAATAATAAATGTTCTATAATACAAACAAATATATAATGAATACTCAACTAACATAAAATGCAATAGTTTTTGTTTTAATTAACCGAATCAGCTTTTGGAAAATTAAGTGCCGTGTAGGTATAATTTATGAGGTTTTATTTAATGGATTGCTAGCAATTATATATATATATATATATATATATGTGTGTGTGTGTGTGTGTGTGTATTTTTTATTAAATAAGTATGACATATTCACTAGCAGTAGTTAAAATGAATCACACAAGATTTTTTATAACTTTGTAGACATCGAAATTTTAATATTTTACTAATTAATGACTTTATTTATTTTTGGACATACATCCATGATAAATACAATATATAATTAATAAAGTTATTATTTCTTGCCCACCAAGTCAAATCTTATGAGTAGGAAAGTGATTATATCAAAACTTAGGATAAGAAAAAAGATTATATCAAATCATAAAGAACCAATCAAATTGATGTCTTCTTCTCCAAGACTCTCTGTCGTACACCTATAAATATGGCTCTCCTCAATGCCACAAATCACACCTCAAAAAAAATTCAACACCTCAAAAAATCCAACATCTAAAAAAAAACCAACACCTCCTAAATCAAAGTCTCAGTTCAAATAGCTCTCAATAATTCTCTTGAAGATCCAAATGTGTTTTTGAAGATCCCAAAGGTATTCTTAAAGATCCACGATATTCAAGTTAAAGATCCAAAAAGAGAAGAATCGGATGGTTCCCTATAGAAATTGTACCCGCATATCGTTTGATCGAAATAAATAAAGTTGTACAAAAGTTTTATGTTTTTCATAAAATTTGTTGTTATAAACTTATAAAGTTGAATAAAACATATTTCCCTTTTGTTAGTACCAACATCACTAAATCCGACTCTACATTTGATATCGGTTAAGTATGCATTATAAATAAACTAAATATGCATTATGTATGAATTAAATGTGCAATCTTGAAACTGACAGTGTTGTCGATGCCACCGTTGTCAACGACGATATCAAAATATGCCGTTGTTATCAACTAAGTATGGATTAAATATGCATTACCCATGTCAATTTTGAAATTAAGTATGCAATTGATATCAGTTAAATATGCATTTATGTATAAACTAAATATGCATAATATATAAATAAAAGAACTGCAAAATATACATTCGTATAAACTAAGTATGCAATTTGTATGAACTAAATATGCAATCACAAAACTGACAGTGTTGCCGCCGTCACTCAACTTTGTCGGGCGTCAATCAATGCTAGTCAACGACTGCTGGTCATTGATTTTTTATTATATAATTAATTTTAATACAATGATTATGAATTTTTATTATATAATTAATATAAATCTCAATTGTTTAACATGAGTGATTGATTATACACAAATCAATGGCTATGAGCACATCACATCTTCATTTTAAGGAATGCCTTATTGGATCGGCCCATATATGTATGATTAAAAATGATATTAGGCTAACTTAACGATTACGGTTAGGTAGTTTGTACTTTTCAACGAATGTGTATGCGTATGAGTGGATCTAGAAAATTTAATTAGGGGGACTAAATAATTTTCAATAATGACATATTTCATTAAAAAGACAAAGTTGCATTTTTAGAATAGAAAAGAAAAAAAAAAATAGTTCAAGAAAATACATACCTTTCAAACTTTGTGACTATTATTGTGCTCGACATTCTCTCAAGTCACAAAACTCATCGATGATTGACTCGGTAGTAATAGATCTTGCAATTTCCCTTTCAACAAAAAAAGTAAAAAAATTTACGAGAAAGCCATCTTCTATTTTACTTTGAAGTTTGGATTTAAGTTAATTAAAATAGTTTGATTAGTTTCATTAATAAGAAAATATATAATACAATACAATAAAAAGTGGAAGTTAAATGAGCTTTATGGGTTATCGAGAAAATTACCTCCTACACTAGGTAATTCATATTTTATTACATAATTAAAACCCTTTTACAAATATTAGCAATATAGCACCAAATCATATTTTTATTTGCATCTTTACCTGAGATGTATTAGTTAAAGATTAATTATCTCCCTCAAATCACGCTTATCACTCTCTATCTCTATTCTTCTTCTCTCTCCCTCTCCCCCTCTCTTCTTTTTGTTATCTCCCCTTCTCAAGAACCACAAAGCATCACCGTCATCGGAAATTGAGATAGCGAACACGAGGAAGTTGATTACTCAAGCAACAGATGGAAGTACACGAGGAAGTTGATTACTCAAGCAACAGATGGAACGATACAGAACGAGATCGTGGGGAAAGAAGGGACGGGGTTTGTGGTGTGGTGGCCGAAACAACTGGACACAGCTAAGGATTCGGGCAGAAGGGCGGCAGAGATTTTCGGTGGAATGCAGTGAGGGGAGATCCACAGGTTGATGGCCGAGACCGTAGGACGATTTTCGAAGGTTGATGGTGGAGACAGTGGACGCGCGGGAAGGGGATGATGGGCGCGTGGATTGAGTGTTTTCTGGAGCTTTTAATGGCGTTATTGATGGGATGATATTTATTTATCGTAAACTCATAATCGACACTATATGTTGCGTGTATATGCAGTATATGTTCCGTATATGTTTTTCATCGCCCGCCGTTTCGTATGTTTCATATCTGGCCCGTTCTTTATTTGTATATATTATGTATATAATGACAAGATTGATCTATTTTATGCATATCTGTTGTGTATTTTCTTTATATCTTATGTATATATAATGAGTATATCTTTTGTATATATTTTGTATATAATCCTGATCGTGTATATTTTGGGTAGTTAGAAAATGAGTACGCATAACTTACCATAATCTTGATCGTATAAAGAAAAAGAAAAAACGAAAAAGAAAAAACGAATCAGAATTGACTTACCATGGGTATTATGTATTTATTTATTTTTTTACTAAAAAATCGGTAAAGATATCCGCAAATCAAGTGTCAGTTGGAGGAGAATGTTGTTACCGCAAATCGTTTTATCCCTTAAATTAAGGAGATTTGGTCGACTTAATTCACAATAACAGATAAGTTTGCAAATTAATTACTACCTCTCGTATTGTTGCAATATTTGTGTAATCGGTGTGTATAGATAAAATTATCCCAATCTTTTAAATATATCTCTAATGGGCCTTGGCTTGTCTTAGTCCACCTAATCAAAATTAATATATCATAAGTTAATTGATTAATGGTGGACAATAATAATTAAATGTACTTAACACATTACATATATAATTAGGTAAAAAGAACAAAAAGCTCGGGGGGACAGTGGCCCCCCTACAATATACTTCCGTCCGCCCTGTGTATGCATTTAAAATTCAAATGTTGTATTCTAATTTCTAAAAACAATATAAATAAAAATATGATATTTTATAATATAAATATTTATGTTAAAAAAATATGACAGGTTAACTCATCTAAATGAATGTTGTAGACCGATTAAGGTCATAATATATATATATGGATTTTCTACTCTAGGAAATTTTGAATTATTGATTAATATATGTCTGTCCCAGAACAGCACTATTTTCAATTGGAAACCTAATACACAATAAAATATGCATTAAGAAATCCCACCAAATTTATGTACATGACATAATATTGATAATTGAATATGTACAATGGGAGTTATGTTTGGGACATCAGAGTTGGATGATCACTTTAATCTTTGACCAATTAATGTGGTTTTAATTTTTGAAGTTCTGTTGATAAAACTGATCCTTTTATATGCATCCTTTGGACCGCATAATAAAATATATTATAAGCATATCCGATAGCATTCACTGTCACGTGAATGGAAACCCGACCCGTTGTGTAGCGGGGCACCGGTGTCTTTGTGTGTCAAAAAAATCCGGCATCTATAAATGCTCAAGTCTTGAACAAAGGACGAATGAGTCAACTATTAAGAAATAATGAAAATTATAAAATTACACTCGATTTGTTTATCAATATTAAAAAACTAAATTTAAATTTTAACGAATCGAACTAAGTTAAAAATGTAGAACATTTTGAATATTTTTGAATTTTGCGTCACTACAAAACCCAATCATGGAATTGTAAATGAAACAGTTATTAGGTAAACTAGTGATAGTAACACTTAGGTAAATTTATAACAAACTGAAAATTTTAGCACAGAGCTGACATTATGAATTATGATGATCAGTAATGAACTTTCAGTTGAATCACTTGTTAAAGAAATCTGGGCCTGTGAACATATACCATAGAATAGCCCAGTTGCAACATTAGGCCTATCAAACTATCATTATGGGCCTACTGATAACAGTCCAGAGGTGTAGGGTTTAACCCCAAAAACCTTCCCCACTCTGTAAACTAATCTACAATTTAAGAAATGAGCTGAAGAAAATGAGAGAAAAATTGATTTCTATGGAGTCCGCCGTAGCAGAGGTAAGCTCTTAAATTCCACTCTGCTGAGCTAAAAATTCGTTCTCTCTCTGATACCTCTCTGCTGAGCTAAAAATTCAGATACCCATCTTCATTAGGCCTTCATCTGCCAAAACCCAATTTTCCCCATTTCCCGTTTGAATTTATTTGGTATTTTTTCTGGAGCTAAATCCTATGTTGTAATTCCTTCATTTGTTTTTGCTGTTGTATCATCTGCCGTTTGAGTTATCTATGTTGGCTCGTCGAAAAATAGCCAAAAGCTTAATGATTGCCCGTCTCAATAACCCCTTCTTGTACCCCGCCGTTTGTGAGAAAAACCCGATCTTCTTTTTCCACTACCCGCCGCCGCCGCCGGAAATCCAATTCGCCTTCGGACCTCTCTCCACCGCCCGCAGGCTTCACACGGCCGCTCAGACCCCAATCGCCGTCTGCGCAGATGGGATCCCACGCGTCGTCAAAGCAGACGCGCAATCAGCGCTCTGTGACTACTTGCACTCCACGCGCGGGCTGAGCTTCTTGGACGCCGAGCACATCAGCAAGAATTCGCCTCGATTTGTCGCGAAGCTAATTGCAAAGGTCGAGAAGGAGCAAGATATCTCCCGGGCCCTCACGAGATTCTTCCGGTACAACCCAATAAACGAGTTCGAGCCGTTTTTCGAGAGCTTGGGCCTGAGGCCCAAGGAATCCGAATCTCTTCTCCCTCGCGGGCTGTTTTTTCTCGCCGATGATCCTGCCCTGCTCGACAACTTTCAAACACTCAGCAGTTATGGGGTCCCGCGTAGTAAAATCGGGAGAATGTACAAGGAAGCGAATGAGCTGTTCGGTTATGAGTACGGTTTATTGGAATCGAAACTGAGGGCTTATGAAAATTCAGGTATGCATCGTTCGACTGTAATAAAGCTCGTGACTTGTTGTCCTCTGCTTTTGGTTGGGAACGTAAATGGTGCATTTGTGAAGGTTTTTGATAAACTGAACGAGTTGGGTTTTGATGAGAATTGGATAGGGAGGTATTTATCTGTGAAGAAAAACACGTACAATTGGAATAGAATTTTAGATGCATTGTGTTTTCTCCATGAGGTGGGATATAGCAATGATGAAATCGAGGCTTTGTTGAAAACCGATACTTCACTGTTGTTTCAAACTTCCGGTAAAGAAGTTTACTCCGTTGTTTGTACATTGCTTAAATTAGGCCTTACCATGAGAGATATCTATAATGTGGTGTCTAAAAACCCACAGATACTATCGTCAAAGTTCGCAAAGAACTTCTGGAAAGCACTTAATTTTCTCATTGAGATTGGTATGGATCGAGAGAACACGGGCCAGATTCTATCCAGTCACATGAATTTTTTCAACTCCCGTTTAACCTTAAACGGGCCAAAAACCGTGGGGAGAAAATTCGGTAATTGCAGGTATAGTTTATGCGAGGCTATAAAGAAGGACCCTTCGAGTTTTTTCAAACTAGCCTTCAAATCGAACAACCTAAATGCAGATTACTTAGATGCCCGAAACCCGAATAATATCGTGCAAAAGACTGAATTTTTGATAAGAATCGGGTATTTAGAGAATTCAGAAGAGATGATGAAAGCTCTAAAGCAGTTTAGAGGCCGAGGGGACCAACTTCAAGAAAGATTCGATTGCTTGGTTGGGTTCGGTTTGGATTTTAACACGGTTTCGAGTATGGTGAAGCTGGCCCCTACTGCTTTGAACCAAACTAAGGAAATTCTTGAAAAGAAAATCGATTTCTTGATAAACTTCTTGGGGTACCCGGTGGAATCTATCGTGGCTTTCCCAACTTACCTCTGTTATGATTTGGGGAGGATTAGTGCGCGTTTTTCAATGTACAAATGGCTTCAAGAGAAAGGTGCTGCAAAGCCAATGTTATCTGTGAGCACGCTTCTCGCAAGTTCGGATAAACGATTTGCGAAATACTTTGTCAGCGTACATCCGGAAGGCCCAGCTGTGTGGGAAAGGTTTAAGAATCATCGGTAGCTTCAGGTTAGAGATTTTTATTTATTTGTTTCTTTATTTCGAATTAGACGATAATGTTGGTTTGATTTTGTTGATTGGTGGCTGTAGAAAATAATTAGCCAAATTTGTGGAGGTGTGTTCTGCATTGTTTTGGTGTTTTGTTGGAAATTGACTAAAAATGATGGACAATGACGTAAAGGTTTTATTTCTTCTTTCATTAAATGTGCACTTTTCTTTGTTTTTTTCTCCAAGTAATCAACTTAGAGAAACAATCATTGCATCGGGTGCCAATTGTTCACTCCTTGTTTTCATCGAGCTGAGTCGAATATTGGAATTATCGAGCTAGGCTCGATTATTGTTCGAGTTTGAGCTAGAGTTCGACCTCTTAAGACTCAACTCGGCAAAATATTTTTCTTTAATAAAGTGTACATTTTTTTATTTATTTAACTACTCGACTTAGAGGAACAACTAATGCATCAGGTTGCATCAGGTGCCAATTGTTCCCTCATTGTTTTCATCGAGCTGAGTCAAATATTGGAATTATCGAGCAAGGCTCGATTATTGTTCGAGTTTGAGCTAGAGTTCGACCTTTTAAGACTTAACTCGACAAAATTCATTAAATGTGCACTTTTTATTTATTTATTTAACAACTCAACTTAGCGGAACAACCAATTCACCGGGTGCCAATTGTTCCCTCATTTTTTTCATCAAGCTGAGTCGAATATTGGAATTATCGAGCTGGGCTCGATTATTGTTCGAGTTTGAGCTAGAGTTCGACCTTTTAAGACTCATCTCAGACAAAATACTTTTCCATCATTAAATGTGAAGTTTATTTATTTATTTATTTAACTACTCAACTTAGAGGAACAACCAATGCATCTGGTGCCGATTGTTCCCTCATTGTTTTCGTTGAGCTGAGTCGAATATTGGAATTATCGAGCTAGGCTCGATTATTCGATACAGTTCGAGTTTGAGCTCGAGTTCGACCTTTTAAGACTCAACTAGACAAATATATACAAATTCCTGAGATCCTTGAATTTCGTCACCACAAAATTTCTATAGTTCGACTTGAAATTCAAATTAAAAATTTTATTGAGTTTGACTCGAATTTAGCTCAAGATAAATGTATCCAGGTAAATTATACTTAGGTTCACC